TGTTTTATTATAATATTTATAAAGTATAATTGTCGAACATTGAATATCTTTGTTTCGGCATAGAGTAACCCGCTAGAATATCTTCTGGTTTTGTTAAGAATAATTTAAAAAAATCTTTTTTGCGAAATCTTGAGAATGTTGTAGTAGGTGCGAGCAACTCCTTCCCATATCCTTCGCATATCAGGTGAGTTTCTACTTAACTTTGGTAAACCATTAGTTTTTGTTTATATTGCAGATTTGTTTAAATTTGTATAATATAAACCTCAGTTTTTGAGCCAAATAATTTGTATGACTATCCCATCTAAGATGTGGGTCTATCATAACACCTAAATATTTTATGTTTTTGGCCAGTTATATATCTTGGTATTTTTTTGTACATTTATTCTGTAGGTTGGAAGGTCTAGCTTTAGGAATGTATAAGGTATATAAACAGCTTTTTTGTAGTTAATGGATAAAAGTCTGTAGTCAAACCACTGTTTTATACATTTAAAATCATTTTCAATTTTTATCCCCAAATTGTACCAGTTTTTATCCTTGTATATTAAAACTGTATCGTCTGCAAAACTAGTGATTTGGCTCTTATTTGTAAGAGATTTGAGAGATTTCCAATATTCAAAATCTAGAATAAGGAATGGTTGAAGTTGATAAAATTAACAAAAACACTAAAATATATTGGAGTTTTTTTATAAATAATAATAATAAATAAGACGAATAATAAAAAAGACGAATTTAAAGCTGGAACCAATTCCCATTTTATTTAATTCTCAACTTAGTCCATCTTCAAGTAAGTTATACAAATAAATTTTAATGCTCCCTGGAAAGAAAATATTTTATGAACACATATATAAGCTTTGGCCGAAGTATTCATCAACAATGTGGTCACCTTAAGATGGATTAAAGGTCATGCCACATCGAAAGGTAACCGTCTTGCTGATTCACTAGCCAAGAAAGTAGCCAACCAAATACTTTTTGGACCTGGCCCTTCTATTGGCCTGACAAAATCGGCAGTGACATACCTAATCAAAGAACATTCCCTTGTGAAATTCAAGGAACGATGGGATGAAACAAGAAACTGCAGAGTTGCCAGAGAGCTCTTAAGTTATCCTGACAACACTGCAGCAAACAAATACTTGACTATGACTAGACAGAGTCTGCGCCTAGTCACATGCATTTCGACTGGTCATTGCCAAGTAAGAAAGCATCTCCATATCATGGGGCTGTCAGAATCCGCACTCTGCAGAGGGTGCGAACAAGAAGATGAGACCATCGAGCATATCCTTTACGATTGCTCGTCGCACTCATTTATTAGAATATTTGTGTTCGGCGAGTATCGGCTAACACCGGCCGATATAAGAGAAGCACCTATTGGCGACGTTGTCAACTACATTAAATCTGTAGGCTGGCTCACGAGCTAGGAGGTGCCTATCATCTTAGGAGGATGCACAATGGGCCTAATGAGGCCTAAGTGCCGTAAAGTAACCCACCCTCCACACGTTACAGATACAGATAGTGAAGAAGTACCTGTACTCGAACCACCTCAAAGTTCTGATTTGTCTACTACCTCGAAAGAACTTTAGATCCTGACTTTGAAGAAACTTCGTCATCTAACTAGCTCTTTCTACTATATCACGGAGATCTCAATGATTTGGTGCCTGATTTAAATGTATCGAAACAATAGGCAGAACATTTGGCATTTGTTGCAACCAAGAACAAAAATATATTTCTTTCGGAATAGAGATGAAGAGCTTAAAGGTTTTTGATTACAAGAGAATGATCTGGTATTTTAGAATAATATCTATGTCGTAATAAATGTTTTGAGTATAAAATACAAAACAGAAGACTGGCGTTTATTTATTGATGCTTCAAAAATGAGTTTAAAGGATTTTCTTTTACATATCGGTAATGAACTTGCCTTCATACCGATTGGTCAGGCTGCTAACATGAAAGACACCTATGAAACCATGAAATATATTTTGGGTAAAATTCAGTTTAACGAATATGAATGGAAAATTAGTGAACATCTAAAAATGATTTCCCTTCTTCTATGATTACAGCTTGGATATACTTAATTCTGTTGTTTTATTTGTGAATGGAATAGTAGGGACGAACAAAATCGTTACGGTAAGAAAGAGTGCCCAAAAGAGAATCTTTACATCATGACAAAAAATTATTAAATATGCTCCGTTAGTACAACCTGATAATGTATTGTTGCCACCTCTTCATATAAAACTTGGCCTTATGAATAAATTCGTGACAGCAATGATTCGAGATGGTAATGGATTCTTATACTTACAAGAAAAATATCTCAAAGACAGTGAAGCAAAAATTAAAGACAGCATATTTATAAATTCTCAGATAAGGAAATTTTTAAAGAAGAATTCTTTGATCTTGAAAAATTTGCTTGGGAACCTTTCATTGGAAGTGACTTTTGAATTTTCTCGGACAAATATCGATCAGGTTTTTTAAACGATATATTATGTTATACGACTATTTTTAGTTTGCGATAAACGATTTATAGACGGTGTGTTTAAATATATATTTAGATTTATTTAAATTAAACTCATACAAATTTATGTAATATTATAATATGTATTTTTCGTTTCGTCTTGATTGATTTCTTACTATTTTTATGCATGACATTTTTTAACGGTTTTTTTGTAGATACTAGTTATTGCATATTATACATTTAAATACAATTTATCTAACACGCATGTTTCCACTTTGCGATAAACTAGTAGACAAAAGTAAATAATATGTATACATTAAAGTTTATTTATATTAACAGCTAATTGGCATATTTATTTATAATACATTCATATTTTTTTATTATATCACCTGTAATATAACTAATTCCCCATACATACGAAACTATTTGATTATGCGAACGGAACAAAGCATACTAGATCTACGATCTTTTCTTATTTCTGCTATTGCGTATGCGTGTATTGCCTAGTGTAATCATCTGTGGTATTATCATGTAGGTTGTTCATCTATACATCGTTGCTCATTTATGTACACGTGTTCAAAGATATTAATTAAAAGCATAGGTAAGTTTATATTAATGTTTTATTTTAGCTGTTCCTTCAATAACAACTACTGTTTTATAGGTAGGATGCTTAGAGAAATTCTAAAACATACCCTTTCTTTCTAACTTTTGTTTCCCTTATTTTCATAAGTGTAAACTAAATAATTTTGCGAAAAACAATATTAAATACAATCAACGATTTTATGATACCAAAGTAGGCTTAAGAACAGGTCTTGAAAGGCACCCATCCAATTTCCATAGCCTGCCAAAGTAGCCCCAATAATAAGGCCTACTTTGGTACTCCATTAAACCATATTAATACATCCCTTTGATCAAAATAAACCATATTTGAATGATCTACTCCCATTTGTACACAAGACACGCTGACATTTTAAAATATTTACATTTTTAGTTAATTTGTGAGTTATAGTGTAATAATTGGTTAAAATCTGTCAAAGTAACTGTAACGTTATAAATAACGTTTCAGTTTTATTTTTGGAACAATAACGACATTCAATAATTACATCCTTATGGGAAAAAGATTCAGACACGCCACTGGTACGAGAACTATTTGTCAAGGCCACTTGTAGGAGTTTAAAATCAATAGTTTGGGTCTTGCGCGGTCGGACGATAGAAGGAAGCAGTTAAGTATTCAGCTAGCAAATTAATGGCATAATTTATATTTGCTAAACATTAATATAACATTTTCTTGTCTTTTTAAATAAGGATAGTGCCATTAATTTGTTAGTCAAATTCTAAGCCGATTTTCACCGACCTTGCTGAGCTAAGTCGAGGGTAACATTTCTGACACCCAACTTGTCATGTAACAGATTTGGCACTCAATTTAAGTATCACGTAGCATAACCGCAATTTGCCTTATCGAAAACACCCTGTGTAGAACAAAGCAGAAATTCATCCAAACAACTTTTTCTATTCATTTATATACATTTTGCCCTAGATTCTCCACTATTATCTGTTTAAGAGATTTCTATTATAGAGACGAACCAGGGCTAAACAAAGCAATTTATTTAGTTAGAGATAAATCGCTTGAAATTCTTTTACCTAAACGAATAAAGAACAACGGACAATTTTAACAAAACTATTTCGCTGTAAAATTCACTCTTAATTGCAAGCAGAAAAGATAAAGAAAAGTCGTTTTCGTTTTACTATCGCCATAAAATATTACACGTATCACTTAAATCAAAAACGGAATAAAAACTACAACAACAGACCTGCATGTAAGTACATTTTGTCTATACCGCAATGGCACGGCATAGCTGTAAAATTAAGCATAAATATTAAAGAACAATTAAGATATGTGGTTTGTGGCGAAGTAATAACACTTCTCAATTTATTACAATTACTATAAAATAGGTAGGTTCAATGCCCTCGAATAATATGTTATACAAAATATTTTTGAACTTAGCAACAAGCTGGGCAACAAGAGTAGTTTGGCAAAGTTTAGTTGTAATATCTTCAAAATATCTTTGACATAGGTACTAAACATATTGTTAAGAAAATGAATTTTTATTTTTTATACAGATCTGTCAAAAAATTTCATTATTTTTAAAAAGAAATATTTAAACGAAAACAAAAGGAAATTTCTAACTTTTGATTTATTCGTTTTATTTTTGACAAAACTGTACAACAGTTTTTTGTCATTCGAACCAAGACTGAAATCAAGAAGAGAATTATACAGTCCACAAGAAGACATTGAGAGCGGAAGAAGCCACTTTCCGAGCCAGTGGGACTCAGCAAGAGGCTAAAGCTGAAAGAAAAGGTACAGCGAGAGGCTACGACGACGGCCGCTGACATCGCACATGTACCCAAGACGACAACTCCTCCTCCGAAGTCCATCGCCGATATCGTGCACGTTGCTGCTACGACAAGGAAGTCCATCATCGATATCGAAGACGCTACTACTATTATAATTCTTCCACTGAACACTGACTGTTAAATTAAAGTTTAATCATCAATGGGAAGTGGATCTACTCGACCTACGGCAAAGCTCAGGATGACTGAAATTGAGCACGCCATGAAGCTTAAGGAGTTACAATGTAGAAAACAGCAAAAACGTATAGAAGAAGCTTCGGGAAAGGTCTCCAAAGCATCGTTAATATGTGAGTCGGACAAACCAGATATTCAAAACTGACTTGATGGTAAAATTCCTTAGTTTAATAAATCCAATTTGTGTCAATCTTATTTATTTTCTCATTTTATTCATCAAAAGTTGCATCTATTTAAAAATCAAAGAGAGGAGCTTTCTCAACTATCACAAATGTTGATTAGATAGTCTCTACCACGAGACCTGTCCATTTTTTAGGGAGACTCTATATATTAGCCTAACTTTATTCACCAGTATCGAAATTATAATGTACTTTGTAAATTTACAAACGAGAAATACCAAGTTAGATTGCAAAGGTGTTTGGAAAGCAATGCCAAAAAGGTAACACAATCCATGCTTATACTGCCAGAAAATGTGGAGAAAGTAATTGAGCTCTTGCAATCTAAGTTTGGCAAAACGAAACATACTATATTACTTTTGATATCAAAATTGCAGCAGTTTACTAACCTTGAGGTGGATCAGGTAGACTAATTGATAGAATTTTTTGATGAAGTTAAAAATGGTGTGGCGACCGTGCAATATTTAGGTGAGGAGGAACATCTTCACAATCTTATGCTTCATGTGAACTGCTAAACAAATTTACCCATCTCCTATAAAACCACTTGAACGGTACACGTTCATAAAGTCCAACCAAAGCTCAAATTGTTAGAGTTTGCTAGCTGGCTGGATAGAAAAGCAAATATTTTATGTCAAGTTCAAACTTCAAAAGCAACAGACTGCAATAAATCTGACATAATCTACAGGCCACGAGAGAAAACGCCAAATTGACGGCCACTTTGACAAACCAAGACATGGGAAATGCTATCAGGTTTATTTGGTGCTGTCAACTAAGTGTACACCATTTTACTGCTTGTGCCAAATTTAATTCATTGTCTGTTGACGAAAAATGGTCTTTTGTGACGACAAACAAAGTCTGTTTTTCGTGTTTAACGCCATTCCATAAGGTACAGGAATGTCGTAAAAAACGCAATTGTGGAATCAATAACTGTACTTAACCTCACAACAGGCTAAAAACGCATTGAGGTCTAGCCCTGTTACTGCTGTTACAGTTACTGTTGTCTCTGATGTGACTTCTTCCAAAGGCTGACGCGACAGAAACAAGCTCTCATATTACTGATAACAAATGTGCTCTTTTAAACATTTTACCAGTTGTTGTGAAGCACTCCGACGTGCAGATTGAAACCTGCGAGTTTCTGGTCCAAATAAACTACTATGTATAAGGTGGACGAATGAAGGAATCACCCAGGAAGATAACGACTCGAAAATTTGTAACTCTTACCATTCTAGGTACTCACAAGAGGAAAAGGTTTCAACTACGGCATGTTAGGACAATGAATCTTATGTTGCCTGCTCAAACGGACGACATTAAGCAAATACGCAGCAAATATCAATATATTCGTAATCAGGTTTTAACTATAAGAAAAACACAGCCTAAGATAATTATCGAACAAGATAATTGGCCCTTTTAATAAACAAGCAAGCTATAACCGGTCCTTGGAACGGCCCGGCATTAAGTAAAGGACACTGATCTTGTGCGTGGGAACTTGAGACTCTTAATTTTATTTAGGATTAGGGTTCTTTTAAATTTAAGTAACTTCAAACACCGAGTAAGTCAAAAATAAAGCGTTAATGAAACAAAAGATAAAAATAAAGTGAAACAAATTACAAGAAACAAACATGTTAAACAATTTATCAAATAGGTATAAAAAAAATCAGTTAATAGTGGAGAGTTTCGTACAATCGTTAAATAGTCCGATTGACGTGACTTGATTTACCGCTGCACAAAAAAAGTTAATTTCATAAATACCTTAATACTTTGGCTCTACGTGAAGACTATGGCACACTAATTGTTCTAAATTTTAGTTAGTCTTGTCGATCTCTTGGCAACTTAGCTGTGATTATTCACTAAGAATTACCAATGCACAAAAACACTAATCACGGTTGACCACAAATTAAGGTTAAAAATCCACACAGAGCAATCTTTGATCGAGGTAAAAAAGCCTCTCTGTCCTCTTCCGGACCACAAATCACGGTTTGCGTTCCTGCGGCAGGGTGGGAAGGTGCCATCTGGTACTGTCTTACGTCATCATGCTAGTGAAATCTGGTACTATCTACACATCTTCACAGGGGTGACCCGTCACATAAATAAGACTTTGTTGGGTTCGGTTATTCATGGCAATGTAGGCACTCAAGTTTCGAGTCAGTTCTATTTTTGCTATGAACACAGAGATACACATTTTTTTTCTAAAGACGAACTAGATCTACCACAGGAAGCAAAACACCGAAATACTCTGAAATTCAAAAAGATATATCCAACAGCAGTAAAAGAAGTGCAACTTCATTATATAAACAAAGGTGGTAGTTGAGTGCGACTGATATGCAACGCTAAGACAATTCTGCGGGAAATGTTGAAAAAGAAATTTCCCACGGAAAGTGTCTTATTCACATATCGACGGATGCGGCAGATATGGAAGTACTAACTCATCATTTTTCGATTGGAACAAACTACGCCTCCATGACTTGCACGACAACAACTGACTCGGATCTGAATTTCATGTCATGGTGTGCTGTTCAAAAAATAACATACAGCTTTTGGCAGCGGTGGACAAAAGAGTATGTTCCGACTTTGGTCAAGAGGACAAAATGGTTAACTGATCAAGATCCAGTTCGATTGGGCGACCTAGTCATTCTAGTGGGCCCAGGAATAGTTGGTAGACGTCAAAAATTGCCATGGAACAATTTTCCGTAGAGCAGTTCAAAGATCATTTCGTTAGTCTAGTAATCAACTATATTGGCCCTAACACTGAGCCGTGCGATATTCCAGAGATGGCTGCAAACTTCACGGACCTCTAACTACAGTACTCTACTCGTAATTAGTCGATTTGAAAGATAGGATTTACAATTTTGCAGGAAAATTTTAACTCTAAAACTTGCTTAGAAAATTGTTATGATTAAGTTTATTAAACGCTTTAGAAAAGTCAGTGTAGGTCACTCTACCTGTCAGCGAGAATTAATAGTGTCTGATGTAAACTGTGTTATGCAAAAGAGGCTGGTGGTTGTTTATCTATTTTTTACAAATCCATTTTAATAGGAGTTAATTACCCACATATGCCGCGTTTGAGAATCCACATCCTATGCATTTTTTACATCTCGAGCGTTTTTTTATCCACATCGGATACATCTACTACATCTACATCTGCGTTTGTTTATCCCAGATGTACCTGTTCAGATTACATTTTTTACATCTCGATTTGAAATGAGATGTGAATGAGATGTTCGTTCCATGCCAGAAACTAAGTGTTCTGTGAAGCCAAGTTTGTCAATTTATCCTTTGTTTATGCTAGCATGAATAATGAAATGATTAGTTTGTTTAATTTTTGTTTAGATTTCAAATTAAGGTTGATTTATAGTCTCAAAAGTCAAATTTAAAAAGTATAAATTTCTAACTTATCATTGACATTTTAGCACGTGACCAAATAAAGTCTAGAGCGTTTGTTTATTACATCTACATTCAGATCTAATTCTCTATCACGTGATAAAAAATTTACAACATCTCATATGCATCCGATGTGGATTCTCAAACACGGCATAAAATGAGTATATATTGGTTTGTATAAGCAAAAATTATTATTACTGTTATAGGAATGACTTTTGTAATAATAATAATAATAATGTTTCAAGAAATTTAAAGAACGAGCAAGCACAGTTACTTAGAACGAAAGAATTTTGTCAAGCTATTTGAATTTTTTTTCAGAAAAGTATTCTAGAGTTAACATATCAAGATTTTATTTTGATTTACTTTAGTTGAAAAATGAATAACTGTGTATGGAACAAATGAATTTTGAAAATGCACTACCTTTTGTCTAAAGATTAACATAATTTTCGTGTTTACTAATAATAAAATCAAAAAAGTGTTTCAAAATAATATTTTACACAATAAATAATTATTATCATTTAATTTTACACCTCTTTAATGTCATACTTTTAAATTCATTACAGCTACTCAAAAAGTATTAAATATACTTCTGTATCCGCTTACAATAAATACCTTAACGGTACCTTCTTAATTGACATTGGTAGTTTAAACATTTATTTATGTCACATTCTGAGCATACATCATTGAATAATATAGTGGAATTATTCATATAGGAACGTCTTTATTATTATGAAATCAAATATTTAATTAATTCTTTAATGTAGTGAATTATGAGCGGTATAAAAAAGTATCTTACACTGTTAAAAATACAGACATTTTTTGAAATAAGATTCTATGAAAAAATCATAAATTGAATGAATAAAGAAAAGTTACTTGACTCTAATCCTTCTCAAAACCTCTGTTATAAATTATTTGAAAATGCATGATAGCACAGTTTTTATGGTAAATGTCCATATACAGGATTGTTTAAAGCAGAAAAAAGTAAAAATTGGTACCTTTTTATCTGAATATTTACAAGATTTTAGTATGACCTCACCGAAAAATCTCGAATACAATACATCATAAAATATAAATGAGTAAACCCTAAGGGATTAACCAGTAATTCTATACATCAGCGACTGTCATTATTAAGTACCCACATTTATTTTTATAAAAATAGTATACTAAATATTAGAACATTTCTTAAAAATTTAATAATAAATATTATTTATACTCAAATAAACTATATACATGTTAACTAAACTGGTTTATGTATTTGAAATAATGGATTTCTGATTCTATTTACTTTAAATTTTCCTCAATTTTTCCATTTTTTTTTTTGTAGACTTACTATATTTTTGGATCCCAAAAACAGATGTTTATGAGTCTTTTAAGGTGACAAAAGACCTATAACATAAGACCTACAAGGACAATAACTGTAGGCTTTTGGGTTAAAGACCTCGATTAATAATTACGGAAAATATTTTACAGTTCTAGATCTGGTTTTGTAAATAAAATTAACATTTGTAAGTTTATGTTACGCTTTCCATAATATTTCTGCCTAAACTGTGGGTATGACC